GATATAGTATTTGTCTTACTTATATGACTTAGCATAATACCCTCTAGGTCCCTCCATGCTGTCACAGATGGTAACATTTCTTTATTTTTTTATGGCCTAGTAATAATCCATTGTTTATATGTACCACAACTTTTTATCCACTTGTTTATTGATGGGCACTTGGGTGGCTTCCATACCTTGGCTATTGTAAATAATGCTGCAATGAGCATAGGGGTGCCCATATTTTTTATAATTAGTACTTTGGATTTTAAAAAAAAAAAGTGCCATTTTAAATGATTCTTTAAACTACTACTGCAGATAACTACAAGAAATTTTCAGGCCTGAAAACATGTTCATTCATTCATCACCAATTTCTAACTGGTTGACTCTTTCTGCTTATCTATATATATACTAGTAAAAGCCTAAACAACTGAATGACTGAACGACCAGGAGCTATGATGTGCACTGACCACCAGGGGGCAGACGCTCAACACAGGAGCTGCAATCTGGTGGTCAGTGTGCTACCACAGCCAGCAAACCTCCTGCGGTCCCTCCCCGTGCTGGCCAGTTCGGCAAGATGGCCCTGATTGGCCCTGATTGCTGGCCAGGCCAAGGGACCCCACCTGTGCATGAATTCGTGCATCAGGCCTCTAATCAGCTAATAAAAAAATTTTGTCATCATCAAAAACAAATTTGACCTTGATCAATGTGACTTGCCAAGACATCTGAGATATGAGTTTGGTTCTTGGAGACACCAAGGGCCACTGTACCTGGGCCCAGGTAATTCCTCCATGCTGACATACACTCTACCCACCAGGCTGGAAGAGAGGCCGGCACATCCTAAGGCCACTGCACTAAGCATCAATATTAAAGAGCCAGGAAGGAGGACGATTGAATTGTTCCCTCTGCCCACGTTTATCACAGCACCCCAAGATGCTTTTGTCTCCCTCCAGGAGCAAAATATGTTCCTTTCATTCTGCAGTGACTTCCTGCCTCCACTCAGTTAAGAAGGCTCAGGATACAGGTAACATGTTTAATTATAATAAAAGCTCTGGAGTCAGGTAAAGGCTTCAATGTGCTTCTCTTGGACAGTGGCGGGGGCAGGGAGGGGAGGAACAAAAGAAAAATGCCTTGGGGCCTTGAGTAGACTCAGCTGGCAGCCCACAGGACAGACTGCAGGCTCACAGCCATGGCCTCGAGTGGGGTCACAGGAGATGCCTGGCCGGCTTTCTCAGAGTAACTAAGACTCTGATCTCTGAGGGAGCAGGCTCACAGGCAGCTGGGAAATCTGCACGAGGACAAGCAGGCATTTCAGAAGAAACACAGCCGATCCCAGTCAAAGCACCCTCAGGAGTCAGCGCAGGAGCCCTGTAGAAGAGAGAGTGATCAGCACCCGGCACCCAGGGACATACTCTGTCCCCTCCTCTCGGGGCCCTGCAGCATCAGGTAAAGCTGAGGTCTGGGCATAAGGTCATCACCTCCCCCAGAGTCTGTGTTGGGGTGAAATCTGCTAAAGAGGATGCGCAGTTCAGCCTCGCGCAGACATGCAGGAGGAGGGGGAACAGCTGTTATCCTTGGGGGATATGAGCATTTCATCTTTTAGCAAATTTATTGATAACTAACCTTTCTTCCACCACTAGGAGTCAATTATAAATGCCACAGGCAGGAGCCACCAACATGGGCACAAAGTGGGCATCATCCCCGTGCCTACCACCCAAGATGTGGCTCTGGCTTCATGTTTCACAGAAAGATCCACCGAAGTTAAACCCTGGTTCTGGATAATTATGCCCGGGAGCTTCAGAAACTGGGCGCGCTTCTCCCCTAACCCTTGATCCCCTGGCAGGGAATAGGCGATGAACGGAGACCTTGGTGACCAGGAACACTCATCTTGCTCCCTCCCTCTTTGTCCTGTCCTAGCACCACTTCCATTTTCCCCTCCGCATTAAATCAGAGCAGAGACAGTACCTGGGGGGAGGCCCATGAGATCCTACAAAAGGACCTTACACAGAGAAAGGTCTCATCACGCAAAGAGCCAGTCCCTCTCCCACCCACAGGAAATGAGATAAGCAATTTAATTGGAAATCCATTCCTCCCCACCCATCAGCCATAAGGCCTTACCCCTAAGCTACAATCCCCCAATTGAATGGACTTAGAAGGAAGGGAAGCCAATGCCCTGACCTCCTTAAAGAAGCAGCTTTCGGAAAGGGGCCAGGGAGACAGTGATGAGCTCTCAGCCCCAGGACAATCGCCAGTCACTCCTGTGGCAGGGCTGCCTTTCAACCAGTAAAATCCAGTCCAAAGCCTCTCCTAGCTATCTGTCTCCTCCCACCACCAGCCCGGCTGCCTGCCTTCCAGGTCAGGGGGTGAGTTACACCTAGACCAGTGATGGCGAACCTTTTGAG